TACCCACACCATATTTTTGTGACATAAATATTATCGCGAAGCAGATAACCGAAAGCAGTTGGACTCCATTCCGCGGAGCTTAAAAAGATATAGGCGTATAATTGTTTAAAAATAGACGTGAGGACACTGAGTGGCGATTAAAAGGGAAGAAAGGGAAGGCCACCGTGCACAAATCGAACAAGGTCGTGCAACAGGTTTTGCAAGGGGTAAAAATGGCGAAGCACGCGAGCTACTTAGAATCTCCCGAGCGCACATTCGAAACGATTGCCTTTCTTTGGTCTCTTTGTGCGAATAAAACGATCGGCGCCGGATTTACGATACACTGCATATTTTTCTGAGTGCGCCCGTAACAAGAGCGTAGAGGGACAAGACGATAGCGCGTATCTTATATTTATATGTTTTGTAAAATTAGCGCAAACGAGAAGATACATTTTATACGCGCGAAATATCTGTCGCTGTCGTTATTTTGTGGTTCATATAAGACGGCCTCATTTTTAAAGCCGCTGTAAGGACGGCCTCGGGGACGTTTATTTCGTTCCCAACGTTGTTTGCCTACGTTTGAGCTTGGAATTTTTCCCGAGACTCGTCGGCTCGTCCGCTGGTATTCTATGCACGATCACGTTCTCACTTATTTACGGATTCGGAGCCCGTATGTGAACCAGAATGCGTTCACACATTCGTACCTTTTGATACCTTCCTAGCGACCGTGACTGAAACAACGGAAATATCGGATTTCTGTCGCTTTACATCGACTCATGCCGTTCGTAGCTAATACGTGAAATGGCACAAAATGGGATTTCGAACGAGAATTTATCTCGCTTCGTAGTCTCGAGAGGAAATAAAGCAGAGCCGAGGGCGTTTACCTCTTACCTTTGAATTTCAAGTAGTTGGCCAACATTTTTATTAGTAGCTCCATAAATACTTCACACTAATAGAAACTTTACGAGAGAAGAGGAAATGACGATACCGACAAAGATAATGCGCGATACGAATGTGGTAGAGGAGGCAGTCAGTTAATTCCGATGTCGACATAATGCACCGGATGGCGAGTAATCATGATCCATCACGCTTGCTATACTTATTTTATTGAAATCGATATTATCTTGTATGACCTCTTGAACGACTCGTTTAAAAAGTTATATCATATACTTCCGAAGGAACATTTTAACATGTAAGAAAAGGCAGCTGCTCTTCCGACCATTCAGACGTTACGCATAACAAAGACACATTTTCTAAGAGGACCTTTCAAAGGAACTCAATCTCATCATAGATAGACAGATTTTATCTGTCTGAACCGTTCGAAGTCAACTTGAAGAAAAAAAGAAACTGTAGCTCGTTTAATATTCTAATAACAACAGAATACCAAGGGAGATAAGGATGACGGACAGCTACAAAGTGTCACGGACGCCGATGGGGTGTCACGGACACGAAAATCGCCCGCAAGGTCGGGAATACACTAAAGCGTTTGACATCGGTCAGCCGGAAGTGACGCGCGTGCTAGACCTTAAACATAGCGATGGAGAGCCGTGTATACTTGACGGAAAGTCACTGGGTGCTACTTTCTACTTTCAAAATCTTGCCTGGAAGCGATAAGCCGTCGTCGCTACCTGAGTCAAACATTTCAGTAAAATGCACTAGGAAAGAATTAAATTGCTTTTAAAACTGGACGCGGCTGTGCAGAAGGAAATGTCGGGGTAATTTCGAATATACTGAAGCGACGATACGGCTGCTGTACGCGGAGAGAATTTTTTCCTAAAATTTATCCTGTGGAAACCATGTTGTTCCACGATTACATAACTTTCAGGATAAATTTTAACAGAAAATCCTCTCCGTGCAGTCTAAACTTTCGAAACATTATTTCAAAACCGAATGTGGCTGTGCAGGAAGAAATATCGAGGCGTTTTTGAAGCGATGTATGTACACGATATGGATAATATTTCAGAATGCAGTGTTTTATTTCCACGATTTAATTAAAACCGCGCGTAAATGCAGACGGTTCATCCAACATTGTTTGAGAATTTCGTGGCAAACAGATGTCTATAACGGAATAAGTCGTTCCAGGCATGGTTTACATTGCGAAATTGCGTGTCATATAACAGTAATTTAATCATAATACAATTATATTTGCAAGGTTTTTCCTCGAGCGCGCAATTTGGTACTCGTTTATTATTCATATAAATTTTAAGAGAATCGAGGTAAATACATTTTTTAAATGCCAACAACGATTTCTCCTCTCTCTCTCTCTCCAAATGCAAAGCGTGTATTTCCGCAGAAAAATTTAAACATCACTTCGTGCCACGACGGGTTCGCTAAATCTCCGATTGCTAAATTTTTTCCTCGCTTTTTGTAAAATGCACCGCGTAATTCACCACGTTGTCGGCGTGCCGCGTTTAATCATCACGCGTGGCAAATATCTTCAATCGCGAGGTGAATTTATTCCCTCCGGAGCATGGGGCAAACGAAATTCTCGCGTGCCTCAGCCGCGTATTTCCCGATTATCTCTGCCAAGCCGGCGTGCTATTCGTGCCTTCTTTGTACAATTAGGAGTTTTTGTCGTCCGTGCGACGTCAGGCACGAGGGATAGGCTGCCTGTGGGGGGGTACGATTGAGAGAAACGGAGGGAAGGTGGGAAAAGAGAGGTTGGCCATAGAGGGAGATAGAGCCGGGATCGATATGCACCTCACTGTCGCGAACTGTTGTAGGAAGGGCCGTTTCGTCACTTCGGACCCGAATTGATGTTAAAAGATTCATCGTAATGTTATCAACAGTCCGAGCTAAACGACGTTGGCTTTTGAGCCATTCGTATATTGATTTATTAGTTAGATCTCCAATTATGTCAAACTTATTGAGGGACCAAATAATTTATAAGCTTCCTCTCTCGTGTCCCGAATAATTTCCCCGTTTGCTGGTTAAATGGATATTGATTGGCAAATTATCCGTCCAACAATTTTAATCGAGATTTGATTACGGCGACTTTTCCCCGTGGTATCGCTCTTTAGTTGATATCATATACCACAGATTGATTGGATTTTTTAATTTATCGGATTTAAGGTTTAATTAAAAAAAGAAAAGTATTTCAGGAACTTCAGACGGCGATATTTTTCTTCTTGCAAATAAAACTTTTCCATTGGATATCGAACAGTCTGGTATTGGATATCAGCTCCAGTGCTCTCTATTACGTGTCAACGGCAGCGTTATAGGTTTGCGGTGCGCAATCTTTCCCACGTCTGGGAACGCATTGCCTCTCAGTATATGTACATGTCGTGCACATATGTTGTCTGTCAGTAGTTCATAAGGATTCATGGATATGAGCCGCGAGTACAGCCATTTAAAATCAACATACCGTTTGCGTGATTTCCCACAGCCATCATTTCAATCTTTCACAACCGACTGAGGTACCCCTGGTATTAAAATGGACGGAATCAATTTTTCTTTGATATAAAAAAAAGTCTCGCGCGCATATTGTTGCGCCGTGACAAAGTGACTTGCGTACTTACGAACGAGTCTGAGAGACTTTGAGAGCTTTTTATACGAAACGAGATTTAGCGACTAAACGCGTGTTGCTGTAGACACGCGGTTGGAAAAATGAGCAAAAACGTTTGGGTACAGGGGGGCTGGACGGTCGTGCATTCGCAAGTTAATGGCCAATATTTCGCGATGGAGAAAGCGAAGCGCTGAACGGAGGTCGTGAGCCTCGTTAAAAGCCGTCCATAAACTTAGAGTCGTTTCACACTGTGGGAATCATGATATCGCGCGCGAATCGGGCGTATCGAATTGAATAACCCGTTACTATATGCGAGAGTGCACAAGTTTCTTGCTATCGCCGGTATTATCTTTACGTCGACGGAAATAAAAATAGATGAGGGATCGATGACACGGCAAATGACCCTCTTTCAGTTTCTCGATTGCTCCTAAGAACGCCAGAACCTTGAGAAACATCAAGATACCACGCTGATTTATAACGGGTCCTTGCTAACACGAACTCGACTCACGAATCGCGGTTAAGACATTGCGTGGCCGGGCCGTAAAAGCATACATGCGTCGAGATGAATTCGAAAGACAGTTAGACGTACGCATGTTCTAATATTATAGAGCCAGGCTGTTGCATAAAGACACTGCACAATCCAGTTCTATTCAGACGTAATCGGGCTCCTTTATTACCGAGCTCTATAATTAACTTACATGTACGCATGTGGATCTGTCAAATTATAATTTAATAGCGCACGTACACGCGGAGGGAAGGAAATTTGCCGTTGCAGCAGAACCGTTACTGCTATTTTACATTCGATGCGAGACCGACTGAACCTTTCCTACACGGAGAGAAGTTTTTCTGAAAATTTATCCTGAAAATCGTGTAATCGTGGGACAACGTGGCATTTCGAAGAATTTTATGAGTTTCTGAAATTTTACCATACTTATACTTATTGTTAGTAGACATTTTATTAGTAGAATGTACGGGAAAGTTTTAAAGACTCTCATACGGTTCTTCCAAATGCCATGTTGTCCCACGATTACACGAATTTCAGGGCGAAATTGAAGAGAAAATTCTCCCCGTGTGCGGATTATTTGATATTATTAAACACAACAATTTTCGTGGTAAGGTAAAAAAAATTCTGCTGCGTAAATTAATTCGCGTAAACGTGCATCTGTGGTAACAAAAACTGAATTCACTGATAAAATAATCTAACAAATGTATTTCGTCCTTATTTTGGTGGTGGAACAAAAATCAATTTTTTGTCTCTAACGAAAGGATCTGCAATATTAGGGAAATTATTTTCAATAAACAAAATTAGTGTTCTCTACAGAACAAATATATTTGCCGTCCGTGTAATAACCGGCAAAATTTAATTACGACAGCACAATGCGCGTTGCATTAATTTCTCTCCCCCCGTGCACTAAACACATTGTCGATGCAAATTTTATATTGCCGCGGAATTATTAATTACGCAAATGATGATACGCGCAAAATTAACGGCCGGTTGGTGTGTGTTTCGCTTCAGGTCACGTACTCGGCCGATCTCGCGATCGAGATACCAGGCAATCTGAGCCAGGGTGGTTCCTGGTACCGTTTGGATTACAGCCCACCCGTCGGCTATCCACCGCCGAACACCACCATAGCCGCCACCGACATCGGTGATGTCATAAAGTTCAGGGACGGTCTGCCTGGGACGAGATACGAGTACTGGCTGTACTACAGCAACAGCACTCTTCACGATTGGCTGACGTGGACCGCGTCGATTACAACACGTATGCAATTTTATTCTATTTAACGCGATAATTATCTTGAGCAGTATGTTCTCTAAATATAATACACAAGCTATCTCTTTTCATAACTTATTTATCTAAGTGCTTTATATGCGGTTCACTTTAATGGTAAATTTATGATTTAACAAGCATACGATTATAATTGCAAACAAAATAGACACATGAACGAACGGTTGCTTGATTTGCCGAGTCGCTCTGGGGAGACTCGATTAACGTAATTTAATTTACAGCACCCGATCCTCCGTCAAACTTGACGGTATCGGTGCGAAATGGGAAGACTGCGATCGTATATTGGTCGCCTCCGGCCCAGGGGAATTATTCCGGTTTCCGGTTACGAACGCAGAGCTTTAGTGATACCGGAAATCCGAAGACCACCGTCATCCCTGTTGACTCGGTGCCCTACACGCTGCGTGATCTCACGCCTGGTGCCACGTACTCGCTTCAACTCTTCACCGTGTTGGACGCCAAAGAGAGCGTCGCTTATACCAGCAGGAATTTTACGACAAGTACATAAATACTCGGAGTATCATAAATGTTTCGTGAGGATCGCGACATGCACGTCTAACGTTGAATCATTTGCAGAACCGAACACCCCGGGCAAGTTCATCGTCTGGTTCAGGAACGAGACGACGCTGCTGGTGCTATGGCAACCGCCTTATCCGGCCGGAATATACACACACTACAAAGTTAGCATAGATCCATCCGACGCGATAGAATCCGTTCTCTATGTGGAGAAGGAAGGCGAGCCACCTGGTCCTGCACAGGCAGCTTTTAAAGGACTTGTCCCAGGTCAGCTGTTTGCTATCATGTAATCGCACGCGCGTATTACGGAACTATCGGACACACCAAATATGTGTATCAGATTCCATTACGTAAACATGTTTCAGAATATGTTACATTGAGAAATTGAGGAGGAGAAAATGTGTTTCCAAATTACAAACAAATAAATTTCATATATGTTATTTGCACATTAGTCGCTCGCTCTATACTAAATGGAGAAGTAGAATCGCAGAGAAAGTATCTGCCGTAAATAGAGCAGTGCATGAATTGCACGAATAGATTCCACAGTTGTATCAATATGCACCTTTTCTAACGTTAAAAACAAAAATTCAGGTCTACTTAGTAGAACGTAAATAGGCTAGTCAAAGAAAGTTTCTTATCTCAGAGGTTATCATGTATTTACAAATAAATAATATACTTTAATTAAATTATGTATTAAACGGTTCGTTCTCCACATTTGATACGCTACGGACATTCAATTCGCCCGATTCGAGCACGCAACGGAATTTCATTATCACAATTCGTATCTGCGGTTTCTTAGAAAGCAGTAAAATTGTGCAATGGGTAAAAACCTAGCGGCACCAATTCGACGCCGAGAAATCACTTAATTCTTAACGTTCTTTTAAAAATAAATATATTACTACTCTTTTAAATAGCGAAAGTTACGTCTCGCTCCTCTAAATTGCTTGCACTTCCGGTTACAGGTAGAGCGTACAACATTTCCGTTCAGACCGTTTCCGAGGATGAAACGTCTGCGCCCACCACGGCCCAGTATCGTACGGTACCGCTGCGTCCACTCAACGTGACCTTCGACAAAGCCTCCGTGACATCGACATCCTTTCGCATGTTTTGGAACCCTCCCAACGGAACGTCCGAGTTCGACAAGTATCAAATATCGCTCGGTAGTAATCGGCGGCTTGCGCCGGTCACGCGAAACCGGGACGACGAGAACAGATGGGAGTTCAAGGACTTGGAGCCCGGCAAAACATATCAAGTGGTGGTGAAGACGGTTTCTGGCAAAGTCACCAGTTGGCCGGCCAGTGGAGACGTCACTCTGAGTACGCGTCCACTTCCTTAATGTGACACTGCACTGAGAAAAATGTCCAATTTTGATACTATTTAGACACTTTTAGGGATAATTTACACCCACTTAGCTGATCCATACACCTACATAGATCAGCAATAACCTACTTCGATGACATATTTTTTTTACTCCTCCCTTGAATATTTAATTCAAAAAATTTACTTTAGTTCCTACTTTAATGCCAAATTGGCGAAAGTAGAAATTTCCGACACTATCAGTTTTAAAGTAGAAGTCAATTTTATCGAATAACTTTCATCGGATATATCCATAATTTAATCGGAAAACGTAATCGAAAAAATTAACCAACGGAAACACCACTTAATTAGTTTATCTAATGTAAATTTTTCTCAGTGCAGAAATAGCGCGCTTGTAATTATTTACAATGATATTGTTTCTTCACTCTTCGTTATGTTTATAGAGCCGCTACCCGTTCACGATCTCAGGGCGGTGATCGATGAGAAGACTGGTATGGTGGAAGTCTCTTGGAGTCCGGAGAATTCGAGTTCGCAGGATAGTTACAAGCTACAATACCACGAGGTGGAGACCACGATTGGTGGCGATAGTAACACTTTGACAACTGATAAAACAAAGGTGAGCGCGACGTTAAACGCGAGAAATGGTGTGCAGCCTTCGCTTTTCTTTTACATACGTTTCTTGACGTAATTGTTAAATTGATAGGTGACGCTGGAAGCTCTGCTGCCGGGAAGAAATTATTCCATAATAGTTGAAGCAATTAGTAATAAGGTCGAGTCGAACGAAACCGTCCTGTACCAAGCGACACGTCCAGCTAGTCCCGTAATTGAAGATCTGAAGCCTATTGAGAAAGGTTTGAACATCTCCTGGAAGAGCGACGTCAATTCTAAACAGGAGAAATTCGAGGTGACCCACAACAGAAATGATACGGGAGAAAGCGCAACCACTCTGACTACGGAATCACATATCGTCTTGGAAGATCTTTATCCCGGTGCAGCGTATGAGGTCAAGGTCTTTGCCATTAGCCATGGACTTCGAAGCGAGCCGCACGACTACTTACAAGCTGTCTGTGAGTAATGTATACTTAATTACGCTCTTACGTAATTTCCTTTCATTCATTATCGACCGCGGAAGTTTCTTTCACTCAACAATGATTCGTCGAATTATTTTCCAGTGCCTCATCCGCCGAAGAATCTCAGTATCGAAAAAGTCACGAGCAGCACCGTCGTTGTGCATTGGGAAGCGCCGACGGACTCGATATTTACCGAATATTCCATCAGATATCGTACGGAGGATGATCCCAGGTGGGTCAAACTGCCCAGCGTTCGCGACACGGAGGCGGAAGTGGCGGACATGACGCCCGGCGAGAGGTACACCATACAAGTGAACACCGTCAGTTACGGTGTCGAAAGTTTGTATCCGTTGCAAGTGAATCACACAGTCCGTAAGTATATACAGCGAGTTATCACACAATTGTTTTGATAATCATTGTGCGACTGAAATAAACAGCGATTTGAAACTCGGGCTTAGACACATCTCGTCATTTCAGGGCCTAACCCAGTTCTAAATGTCACCCCTATTATCGATTCTACCAATGTAACTCTCGAATGGCCACGGCCTGAGGGCCGTATCGAGACCTACGTGATAAGATGGTGGCCGGTGGACAACCCAGAGGATTCCAGGACGAAGAACGTCAGCGAGACCAACGACGTGCCCGATATCAGTTTCGAAGAGAACGCCGTGCAAACCGAGAAGATCCTGGTGAGCGACCTGATGCCTGGAGTACAGTACTTCTTCGTCGTCTACACGATCTCGTATGATCTAGTCAGCGACATCAGCAATTTAACCACAAGAACGAGTGAGTGTACCGGCTTCGTCGTCGTATTAACGAGTATCCATTATTTGCCGCTGTTTAACAGCTCATTAACGAATTTCGCCTGACTGAGCATGTATGCTAACGGATACACGCGACATCCTAACTGCCAGTCATTAATCTTGCTCATGTTATCGTGTGCTTTTCGCTATATTTTTCTGTCACGTCATATTCGTCTGCCACAAATTTGTATCTACTTAGCGACTTTGCTCCAAGTCTGACGGGCAGTTAAGGGCGATTAAGATCGTGGTAGGTCGATCGGTGACTAGGCAAACAAAAACGAAACTTTGAAATCTAGTGCCACTGATCCAGTCCGAAGTCGTCGTAGTGGTCGATCGGGACCAGCCAGGATCGTTGACGTTAAGATACACGCCGACGCCGATTCAGTCTTCGAGGTTCAATCTCTACCGGTTCAGGATTAGCGATGACAATAACACCACGAAGGAGCGTATGGTGGATGACGTTGACACCAAGGTCTCATTTGTTGGATTAACACCTGGCAAACTGTACAACGTGACTGTTTGGACAGTAAGCGATAATGTGGAGAGCAGACCTCTCCTCCGGCAAGACCGACTCTGTGAGTATCCACGCGGTACAGCGTGTGTTAAAACGGCTCTCGAAAATGAGACGCTAATTTTAATTGATACGCGAGTGAAAGCTGTGTTTGCTTAAATTGTTTAAAGTGAAATTTAATTCCGTGTCTAACGTAACGTACTTGAAGACTGTACAAATTTTCCGCAGATAATCCACTTCGAAGCGTGGTTGTATTTTCTCTTGTTTACGCCTGTATTATTTTGTGATATGACATCATAATATATTATTTTAATAGTAACTGTGGGGAGATCGCAGTGAAGGAATTAAATGAAAGAAATATCACATTATAATTTTCATCTTTCACGCAATATTTATATGTTACCATGTTCAATAGATCTATGCAAATCTTCTTTTAATATGTACACAAAAACGACCAGGCATTTGTCCGTACCATATCTTTTTATTAGCCTGAAGATAAATGTGATTTTTAGATCCTGAACCGATCACTGCGATCCAGGCGATTGACATAAACGATACGAGGATCACCTTGACCTGGGACATCCCGCACGGAGAGTATGATACGTTTGAAGTACAGTATATAAATACGGAAGGGAACTACATCCAAAATATAACCTCGGTCAACGTGATCACCATCTTTGACCTCAAGCCGCACAGAAATTACACGTTCACATTGGTTGTACGCTCGGGCACCGAATCCTCTTCGTTGAGGGTCTCGAATCCGCTCAGCGCCAGCTTCACCACCAGCGAGTCGTATCCGGGAAAGGTGGAGAAGTTTCACCCTATCGACATTCAACCGAGCGACATCAGCTTCTTGTGGTCTCTGCCGAGCCAGGAGCAAAATGGCATCATTAGGAAGTTTACCATCACGTATGGTTTAGAAGTAAGACATCTCTTTAAATATGCTTGAGAAATGTGCATTTACGTATAACTTAAAATAGAAAAACGCGAGATACGCAATGGCTGAAGCTATTTCGTATTTCCCCGTGCGTCGAAGAAATATGTTACACACATTATACGGATGTTTCCTCGCGGTCCCATCAGGGTTCGACCCACACCCAGATGCAGGACTTCAGGCCGAACGAGTTTCGTGGTGTTATCAAGTCCCTCGTACCTGGCAAGACCTATATCTTCCGGATACAAGCGGAGACAAAGATCGGCTTTGGTCCCGAGGCGATCTGGAAGCAGAAGATGCCAATATTAGCGCCACCGAAGCCATCCACGCAGGTGGTGCCGACCGAAGTCTGTAGAAGCAGCACGACAATCCAAATCAGGTTCAGGAAAAACTACTTCAGCGAGCAGAACGGTGCGGTCACGTCGTACAGCGTCATTGTTGCCGAAGACGACAGCAAGAACGCTTCTGGGCTGGAGATGCCTAGTTGGAGAGACGTCCAGGCCTACAGCATTTGGCCACCGTATCAGGTAAACTTTATTTTTCATTTATTACACGGTCGTAATTATGAAGAACACGTGGATTTAATTGAGATATTCGTTTGAACAAGATTCAAATATTCAGACATTGAATTCCGAACTGATTTTATTATTTAGATAAGTGGATTACGAAGTACGTGTATATTATGTAAAATGAATATTTTGAAAACTGACGCAACATTAAATTTCAATGGCAAAATACACGTGCGATAAAATGTTTTTCTGTTGCAATAATTAACGCCACTTTCAATTTAATGCATTACAAAATGTGCTAAGAAAAATAGACGGTAAAACGAATCGTTTAAGATAATCAATGCAGCAAATTATGCCGCGCTGTACTTATTGACTTGCAAGATCATGGACAATTGTCTGCGTGAAAAATGTATGCGTGTGTGAAAATGTATGCGTTATGACGTAGATCCGCAAACGTATAAACACGGCAGGCGAGCTGTGACCAGAGTATTATATGCGGAACGAAGGATACGCGTAATCTAGTTGCGATCTGAAACTGCGAAGACGCAGATGCGGTCGCCGTGATATGAACATTTTACAAAGTTAAATCGCGGAATTGTATTTGACTATCTACACTGTGTTGTTGCGATCGCGAAGAGAAAAGCAGTGTGTGTAAACCGAGTCTAATAAAACTTACAAAAGGATGGTGCACTTTGAATTTGCGAAATTTCACACGTATTTCAATTCGACATCTTTATAGCACTGTTACCAAAGACTGCGTTCTCTTATTTATTCTCTTACTCACTTGCAAATGACGTATGATGAATATAAAAAAGTAATACAGTATGTATTACGTTTTTATATTCTCGTACGTTACGTTGTTAATTATTGCAATGTATCAGTTTTGAAAATAATATGTTACTAACGGATTCGACGAATCTTATGCTAATCGTCTGTAGTCTGTTACGACCGATTCTTCGTATAACATTACCAATGTTAATGTTAACGTTCTGTTAAAGAAACTGCGTAGCAAAGCGAAAGCAAAGTCCGTCGCGAAATGTACGGCACCGAAAATTGTGATTGAATTTTAGTTACGAACAAATTCGGGAGCCATGAATATGGACGTTCTGAACAATTTAATTTCGAAAACGAAGAAGATAATCAAGCAGGTGTTTATAAAAACGATATACAGGCGTTCTATATGTGCGTTAATAAATTCGTAACCAGAAAACGAGAGTACCCTTATTTAAATATTTTATTTTGACTTGTGGCAAAAATTGAGATGCACCAAAAAGATTCACGATAAATACATTGAGAAAACCATTGATTTAATTTAATTGGCACTTAAAGAGAATTTGTCAATTGTTAATTATGATTGTATTATTTAATAGATTACAATAATATATCAGAATAGATATGTATAATGTCTATTAGTTATTTTACAATGAATAGAGTATTTCATTGTGTTAAAATCTCCAGGTAATGGAACCATACTACCCCTTCAAAAATGGATCTGTGGAGGACTTTACGATCGGCTCCGAGAACTGCGACAACAAAATTGGCTACTGTAATGGACCATTAAAATCAGGATCTACTTATCGAGTGAAAGTGCGCGCGTTTACGGCACCGGACAAATTTACGGACACCAGCTACAGCTTCCCCATTCAAACAGGTGAGAGCGATCGCGTGAAAAGTCTTAAAACGTAAAGAAAAATCGCGTACCATTAACGCATCCGATGTCTCGCTCTCTTTCTCTCTCTCTTCCTTTCACGACAGTGAAAATATTTCTTTAAGTGCATGTGAGTTTACAGAAATAATAACGATGATATGTAATAACGATTCATCCGATGCGATAACTGGTTTGTAAAATAGAGGCACACTGCGCATGTAGTGAAAGCCTCGCTAAATTCATGCCTCGTTATTTCGTGTACATGTCTGCCCAAGGATTGCTGCTGGCAGGTAAGATCTCGAAATGGAAGTTCAAAGCTTTATCCATGCCGCGTGATAAGTGTGATAACGCTTTTTAGCGAACGAACGTATCTAACGCGATTGTTCTTGGCGATCGTCTGACTCATCGTAACACTCAAAATTCGCTGTGCGTGTCGAACAGATAAGGACAACACGGCCATCATAGTCGGTGTCACCGTTGCCATAGCGTTGCTGCTATTTCTATTGGGCATCGGGCTGTTTATGCGAAGGAGAAGAAGCCAGGGTCGCAAGACAACAGAAACCAGGGCAACCGATAATCTATCATTGCCGGATAGCGTCATTGAGACCAGGTGCCAAGAAATTACAACACTTTATTCGTGATTTCACCGAATTGGGATTGTGACAATAAGTCTGCACGACGATTTCACGATACACAATTATTTTGCAGACCCATAGATAGTTAAAAAATTATTAACTTCAGTTATCGACTTGTTGATTAACTTAAAGTCAGTTCTTTTAAAAATTTACACACAACTTTTTTACGCTCACTGTTTTCTTCGTTTCTAATTTCAAATGCGGTAGGAATAATTATGGTAATCAAATGCCAGATTAACATTTTGTTAAGGCAAAATCAATTGAGGAATACAAATGTGTTATTTAAAAGATTAATTTTTATTGCTATTTACTTGTAATGTGAAAAAAGAGGCATTTTTATAGCTCATGTTAGAAAATAATTTTAATTAAAGTGATTTTAAAATCGAAATTTGTAATATTTATTCGCGATAGTATAACGTAATATTTATTGCTACATTCAGCCGGCCCATCAAAGTTGAAGATTTTGCCGAGCACTATCGCACTATGTCGGCGGATTCCGACTTCCGGTTCTCGGAGGAGTTTGAAGAATTGAAGCACGTCGGAAGAGATCAACCGTGCACCGCGGCTGATTTGCCCTGTAACAGGCCGAAGAATCGCTTCACAAATATTCTCCCCTACGATCACAGTAGATTCAAGCTTCAACCTGTCGATGACGAGGAGGGCTCCGATTACATCAACGCCAATTACGTTCCGGTATGTAAAAAAATAACCTGCTATTAAAACTATTTTAAACAATTAAAACCTTAGTAGCACAATATATTGACGCAATATTGGAGAATAAATTAAATCTGGTATTGGTTCAATATTGTAACATGGACGCTTTTTCTTATTTACCCAATATGTCTACTATCGGTCTAACATTGTTATTATTATACATTGTTAAATATTGGCCAATGCACTTCCAATATAAATCTAATATTATATAATCATTATCGTGCAATATTTATATTTATTTCATAGCCAATATTGGCTTTACGTTGGACAATATCGGCCAATGCATTTCTAATATAACCAACATTGGACCAACATTTAGCCACTGTGCTACTAGGGAACGATGTTCGAACCAGTGATAATTTAAAAAAATACTTTTTGTGGGTTAACAGGGTCACAATTCGCCACGGGAGTTTATCGTGACTCAAGGGCCATTGCATTCGACTCGCGACGACTTCTGGCGAATGGTGTGGGAGAGCAACAGCAGGGCGATTGTAATGCTGACGAGATGCATCGAGAAGGGCAGGGAAAAGTGCGATCATTACTGGCCGATGGACACCTTACCGGTTTATTACGGAGACATCTGCGTCACGATACTCAACGAGACGCATTATCCGGATTGGAGTATCACGGAATTCATGTTGTGCAGAGTGAGTGATTGCTTCTTTTCATCAAGCTCTTGTTACAAATGTATAATTTATCAGAGCACTTGTTAGTGGGTGAATTTCCCGATTGAGACGAAAAATAATGTGCTGCAGGGTGATGTGAAGAGAGTGATACAACACTTCCACTTCACTACCTGGCCAGATTTCGGTGTTCCCAGTCCACCGCAAACTTTGGCGAGGTTCGTGCGAGCGTTTAGGGAACGAGTCAGGCCGGATCAGCGGCCCATAGTCGTTCATTGTAGCGCCGGCGTAGGTCGTAGTGGCACCTTCATCACTTTAGACAGAATACTGCAGCAAATTCTCGTATCGAAGTACGTCGATATCTTCGGGATCGTCTGGGCGATGAGGAAAGAGCGGGTCTGGATGGTCCAGACGGAGCAGCAGTATATCTGCATCCATCAATGTCTCTTGGCCGTTCTGGAGGGACAGGATACTACTGGGCCACCGCGAGAGATTCATGACAATCAGGGATTCGAAGGTACGCCCTAATTCTATCCCCTTCACGAGCTATCCTTAATTAATTGGGACAATTGCGGAACAAGTTGGGTGATCAATGACGAAGCGCGACTTAGAGAATGCGCCACGGATGGGTAATCGAAATATCAATCGTTGAAAATTCCAAGGGAATCGGTCAGTAGTGCATGTATTGGAAGGGGATCTAAATGGAATAATTTGTTATAATTTGTCACTTGTTTTCTTATGCAGAACTTCCCCTTGCACGGAAATAGGTTGAATATATTCTACCGCGGATATTAATAAAATAATACAACTAAAAAGATAGCGAAATATTTTACGAAAGGCGAAGAAATATAATACGGTATCGAGGGGAAATTATTTACGGTGTAGGCGATGGTGATGGCTATAAGCACACATTATCCTGTGATTGAAAATGATAGTGGTGTAAAAACCCTTATTGTAAAACGTTATCACTTCCTCCGCCTAGTAACTCACACCCTCCCTCTCTGCAATCTTTTGCGACCTTTGTATTCAGGCAAGAATCGAAGCTCGGTCGAAAGCACTAAGAGTCCTGCCGAGGCTGAGAAGGAGAGGTGACCTTCGAACAGCGACTCCTGCATCGAGGGTAATTTCGATCGTTGCTTTTCTTCTTCCCTGCATGAATTTAGACGCTACCAAATGCCAAATGTATATACTAATTTGTGTGCACTGCATGTGAGAACAAAGTAACAGTATATGTTTCACCAAATACCGATAATGTTTTATGGTGAGATTGCCTGCCCGTTGACATTTAATCACTACTTAATTTTCTGTACAAATTTCAGCGGAATAATCGCAGTGATCAAGATGACTGATTAAGTGCCAAAAAGACTGATTTATAACGAATTTCTTCCTAATTTTGCCTTATCGATACCTTAGATATTAATATTTTGCCTTGCTGAAATATGTGAAGTTTATTAAACACAATTTGTCATATTATAATTTTTTTAATTAGCAAACCAAGTATAAAATATTCGAATGTTTTTCGAAAGTTTAGATTTATTTGAAATAGAAAAGTGCATTTTATGTTGCAAAATTAATAATTCGATGAAACAACATGAATTTGTTTGCATTCACAAAGTATGTAGCTTGCATCGAGCATGATTGCAATGTATATATGACAAACGGCAATTATACAATTATAATTCGAATTCCTTCTAATTTAATCTCTTTTGCAGATGATGAAGGAATAGCCGAGTCAGGGATGTGATGGTTCGATTGCTGGTTAGGCGCAATGATCGATGGCGACAAGAGCGAATCTCGTTATCCAAAGGTGCTTGAATCCCCAGGATTCTTCAAGTTTCCTTGGAAGAGAAAAATGTAACAGCAGAGAGATAAACAGTCCAAATTAGGTAAAGGCTACACAACGAGCAGCACAACAGTTATCATTTGGACCACCAATTAAGTCTCGCGTGCAATAGGATAATCGACGGAAGAAATCTCCTGGGAGAACCGTTTTGACGTCAAGCATCGAGTGGGCGCGTGATTTTATTTTTCTCTGTCAGCTACATATCGAAGTTAAGCGTGTTCAATCCGTGATACGCGTAGGGTGTTTTCACGGACTAAGATAATTATGTGAGGAAAGTGTGAGGAGGATGCCGTAAAGAGCAATAGAGGGGGACACGAGAAAACGGTGTCAAATCGTCGAATATGCTGCCAAGTGTGGGATTACGAATCAAATGCATGCGTGATATTTTATGCGCGTTGTGCAACGGCCGGAGAGATTACGTCTTTATTAATATATAACTCATGTATACATATCTATACATATAAGTAGGAAGCTGACAAGGCGCGCGATGGTGATAGATCGTGGGTCGTATAGTGTAACGAGTGCAGAGAGGTGCATATTCCACTGGTTGTGTCACGATGGGGCCTCGGACCACATCGCATCCGCAATGAGTCTATCGAACGTCTTTGTTAAGTCGCGATATGTAAGACAGATAGCATTTTAGATCGATGGGATCGTGCAGACATTGCGAACTAGCGTCTTGGTTCCACTTCCGATGCAAACATTCTTCTGAGATTACCACCAACAACACTTTGTTCATATTTCGCGTTCTACTCGCACGGGCGCGTAAAAGATTATCCTACGTTGTCTTATTATCTTTTCCAGAATTAACGTAGTGCGGTCGGATGAAACTTAAAAATAGCGATCCGTTGCAAAAGCGAAGGCGCAGAGCACTCGACGATCACGCTGATTGAGTTATCGTACGGAATGGCGAACCGTCCGTCCAAGAGCCATACGAGAGACGCATATTAGACAATGATTTAATAAGTAATAATGTTAATGTTAAAGCGAATTAACTAGGGGATGGGGGGGAATTCGGAAGGACGAGCGGGTGTGGGTGTGCGGAGCTTTTGATCGATCCTTCTTTCTGAGATGAGCGAAACGATATCAGTGGGAACAAGAAACTCGCATTTTCGTAGAAGCCATATCATTCTTTGGAAGGAGTCAGAGTATGTGTGTATGCGTACGTATGCGTGTAGATGTGTGCGCGCGAGTATGTAAGATGAATAATCGATGGATAGTCCAAGTTTACGCATTATCCCCTCTTATCATCGCGAATCGTGATCGCTGTTGCAAAGCAATAGAACTTCGTAAATATAGATAACCGTCATATCGCGATAATCCCTAGGTCCAGATAGCTGCAGATAGATAGGCCTTAATTTTACAATTCGTCGTTGACCTCCAACGGTGACCATTCGCAGGACATACGGAAGAAACGAATAATCATTTCCAGTATTTAGTATCGCATTTGCGGCGATATGCAAATACGTATGTACTTAATTTTGCGTTCTCGCTGAGAGCGCGGCGAAAAACGTAGCTGATTGCACGATGTAGATAAAATTGTTAGCTTCACAATCAGGGTCAGTTGGAATTTCCTCCGTCAGAGATTCTTCAAAAGGTTAAATTTAAAGAAAAAAAGAAACCCGGAGAAAGAATTTTGTGTTCATCGATGCTGTATTTTTGGACGAGCATTTTTACGCCGGTCACATCGTGAACCGCCGATTTATAAACGATTGCAGGGACTGTTGAAAATTGCATTTTGCAGTGAGCGCTACCCAGGATTTATATTAATCCGCTATTCGCTTATCAACGTCAATGACATGTGTGTAATAATGAAATAAATTGGAAGAGTCAATATAAGATAATTGTATATTCTGAATGGAGCTTTTTTCAAAAGCGCGCTACTTTTAATATTTCGGAATTTAGGACGGATTAATAAAAATTCTGTGTGATTCATCGAAATTATCTGTATATGTGATAATCTTATATATGTATAACTGTACGTATGCACGTTGATAGTAATTGTGCTGTTGAATTGTGCTGCCGCAGTGCGCTATCGATGTCAGTTTATTCGCGAGAGATACGGAAAACGTATTAGAGAAAGACGCGAGGAGAGAGCGATATCGGACTCTAGCAATTCCACTAACTACAATCCCTGTCGCTTATAACGTTTGCTTATCTGAAAACTTTAGAGCGAGAATGAGCGCGCATTGAAATGCTATTGTTGAAATTCCACGGTCGATCCTACTTAATACTCAACCACGAGTTTTCTAGAGAGACAATTGTTTAATTATATTTTTTTCTGCGATATAGATATTATCAACGTTTCGTTCCGCGGGATAAAAATTTATATATCGACATCTGTGCAGCTCTTCATTCTTTTATGTTTACTTTAAGATCTGACCTACTTGACAGAAGGTTGTATTTTACTTGTAACTATAACATAATGTTGACGTTATTGAATATGTAAAGTATGAACGCGATTTCGTATCTTGTACATTTCCTCAACGCTATGAGATAGCGTACTTGCAATTCCTAGTTAAATAGATGATTATTTATAATTAGATCTTTGTATTAATAACTGAGCTCAAATACTTTCTATTTTGTTATCGTTATCAATTATACTCTTTTAAATTATAGCTTACGATTTAAAAACTACTATATAACTTTAAATTAGAATCTGTATAATTATCTACAACTAACGTCATAAATTTCTCATAAAAATTATAATTATAGTAGAGGATTATTTGCAATAACGTCACCAATATTAAACATCATCTTTCGTTTCATTAACCGATCTAAAATTTTTCGCGATACGTGTGTACTCGGACATTAATTGCGTAGAATAAGAAAGCAATGTGTCTCTTTTGAAAAATGAAAACGGATTATTAGCTGTAAACAAGAAATAACATTATATCTCACATTTAAGCAAGCAGACAAATTTGCACACGTGAATAACTTGCAAAGTATCCAGCAATTTTGTGCAATCGCTGTACTCTCACAATTAAAGTATCATAGGATTTGTTAGGTTTTAATTTAGAAACGAACTTAAGGACGGGAATAATAGATAAGCATTGAATTCTAATCCTTGAAGTTTACAGATAGTTTAGCGCTTGGACTATTTTGCATTATTTTATTCTGTGATAAATCATGATCGTTGATCAAGGATGAAGAACAAAAGATCGGTCAGGCACAAATGCGGTAGGTCTTCCCAAACGAAGTAATAGTGAATGAATCGTTTTTTACCGCCCGCGTTAATACGTGCCAATCGTTGCTGTTGAATCATTAACGTCGAAATCCGAAACTTGCGGAACGAGATGTTAATGTGCCGCGTGCCGAAGCGTCTGCAGGGCGTCACTGTATATAATTTTATATTAAGATCGAGTTTTTTTTTATGCCGGATTTATCCGTCGTCCTCAGAAGCGAATCTCTGCGAAGAGCGAGGGAAATTTGTTCAGGATGTATCGCCGGATACTCTTTTTTTTCGACCGAGATATCTGACGGCGAAGTCGCGCGACTGCGCCGTCATGACGACTCGAGATTGCAGGGCGATACGGAATCCGCAGCGAGCACTTGGTGCGAGCAAAGAAACGACGGGAAATCGCTTCCGAAATTTCGCTGCGATTTTTCACATGGGAGTCGACAAGTTTACACACGCGCATACTCCGCGTAGGTCTATAATCTCTTTTGTAAATACATTTTGTATCGGTTGCGAGGACGGTCCGTTGCGCGAGGGCGGAACTTCACGAATAAAGAATCTCATACCCTATCTCTCGCAACGACACGGCTTGCAAACTCATACAGTTATTTCTGTCACGTAACATCGTAATACATATTAGTATGTATCTGAGAATTTGTACAACACGTGCGAAGCACGGAGGGGCACAGGTCTGTCCCGCAATATCACATTATACAAGCATACGGAAAAGAAGGGACACGCTTGCATAATAAACGTGGGCTCTTCCAGTAATTTCTCTCTTTCCTCTTGTTTCATTTCGTATCCCCCCCGCCACATCGATACGCGATACTTGATAAGTCGATAACAAAGTAAGACAGTTACGTAAGCAAATTTTTTTATTAAATCATATATTACCTTTTATTTTGAATATGGCGAATTATTTCCATTTAATACACAATTTCGACGCGTTAGATCATTTAAAAAAAATTTTATCGCAACAGAGTCATTAGTACAAGCGTTTTTCAAGTCGAACGATATCCGATTATCTAGATGCTATGATGCCTACGTAACGTTAGCCGTTTTCGAATTTAATGGCATTCCCAATGGCAATTCTAATGAAGAATTAAGTTTCTTGCCCTTACGTGTGTCAGATTTAGCAGTAGTTCCGCTTACGGGACGTCCTACACACAGACACAATTAACATGCATTATTTAAATCTCATTTCAGAATATACGAAATTGTGATTATATTTTAGGTACAAGCGATTTACGTTCCATCAAGCTGCTCAGCATAAAAGTCTGCTTCTTATAATAACGAAGGACGGTAACAATGTTATAATTGTTGCAGTTATACTTCCGATAAAGTAGGCGGGACAAAGTTTGCGTAAAAGAAAAGTATTTAGTCGAAGAAGTATCATTGATTAAAGTCTCGAGGTCTCAACGACAAGTCACGCCTGCCTGCTAATACAGATTCTGCTTGACAAGTTTCTTTGAATCTTTACTTGCCTCTCAGTTGACTAAGCATTCTGGAGAGAATTCCACGCCCGGTGTCCTCCGCCGGTTTATCGATAATTCCATTGTCCTCATTATGAGGATGCCTACGTAGTATACGACTCAGCGACCCTGCTCGGGGATGGGCAAAAAGTTTCCTAGGCGAACCGCCTTTGTCGACAAACTTAAGCATCCTTCCCAGAGAGTTTGTCTTCTCTTTCCTCGGTGCTTTTTCGTCATAATCATCGACGCTTGTCACATTCTAAAGAAGAACCGAACAGAAGAGCCAAAGGCGCCAAGGCGTGTAAATCAGAAAAATTTCTTGCGCCTATTCATTCAAGTTGCGGGAACAATTGCGTTACAAAAGTAACGAATTATATTAAGTATACAATTATTTTTAATTGTGAAAGTAATCAACGCGTAATCTCGATTAATTATCGCGATTTTACCATCACATTCTACAGCAGTTATTATACCGACGAGCATTTCACTGGTCCTAATTAAACAATCAATTACACAGTTGTTGTACGCTAACGAGATTACCGATAAATTTGGAGATAAATCAGATTGTGAGACAAATCTTTATGTATTGTTTAGTAAACGCGTTTCAATCATTAACGTAATAACAGCGAGCTCGATACGTCGTTAAATTCAGAGCCCATTAAATTTCTTAAACGATAACGATAAATTATTTAGTGTGAAATCAGTTGATCGAGATAAAAGAGATTGCGTTGCCGGTCAACTTCATTTTTGCATGGGGGTTTTTTCGCGGGGAGTTGATAAAGGTCGCGCAAAAAACTTGTTAAAATAATCAGATGCAAATACGAAGCGCATAACGTAGGCACACATTAGGAACGTTCGCGTGGTATGCAGTCGGTACGTGTTTTGTTTTCACTGTCCTGACATTCTTAGGGCTCAAACTTCTTCATATATCCCGAGATATTACCGAAGCCCGAGCGTCGCGCGCCCCCAGATGCCACCTTACATTTGCGAAACATGACGCCCCGAGGATTCAAATCACTTACGGTGTCCAAGCCCAAAAATGATTTTCCCACGGCAGGCGTACGTGTCCTAAACATCTTCCCCATTCTATCCAGCGTGACGCTCTTCAATCTCCTGACATCTTGTCTAACAGCTTCGGTCCTCGACGTCGTTCGAGATAATTTCGGCGATTCCCCTGAGCCTGATGGGACGGTCCGCCGAGTGGCGACGGGATCTGTCGTCAGTTTCGGAAACTGTATTTTATTTTAAAACGCGACATCTCTTGCGCTAATCACGGCGTCTGTTAAACCGATACGCGGATATATAGATTCGGATATTCTCTACAAACAATTCATATGTAACATATTATTAGCGTTTGCAATATTATTAAATATGATTCAACGACACACGCAACCGCGGTCGCAATTCGCGGTTTACCTTTCTAAATAGACCACCGTGTATCGCGATTGGCAGATCGATCGATATCTAGCCCGCCTATCGCACAGCAATAAATACGGCGGCAATAAATACGAATGAGTCTTGCGATTGAAACGCGACTCGCGAGCGCAAGTTTTATATGTAACACCAATGTGATTTCTTGGGAGGGAAGATCAAACGAAAGTAATCTCATTCGTCACCGCGACCGAACTGTAAGTCAGGGAAATTACACTTGCATGGTCGGACGAGCACGTTTTTTTTTTATCGAGCCGCAGATGGTGCGGTGGGATAAATCACGGAATAACTCCTTCAAAGTTTCATATCGAGCACGAATGCGGAAATTTCAAACGGAATCTCGTTTTCCAGGCCAGCGTTCTCTCTGCGATCTTATCTCTCTATTCTTCTCGCGGAACCCTCGCCCCTGCGCGCACACGCGTTTTTCATCCCGCTGCGAGGAGCGTAGAAAGAAGATCGCACAAACCCCGTGGCATGCAATATATTAATGACGCCATTAAATTTTATCTCCGTTTCGACGAATGCGACGACGGGCGTATCAATACGGCGTGTCGATTAAAATAAACAGATGACTGGATGGATATTCGAACGAGTCTGAAACGTTAATTTCCCGGATGGATTTTAAATGAAATGAAATTAAAAACACACACCGGGATTGAGGGAGATCGATTGCTACGCGAGAGAAAAAAATACGCACGCATTTCAACATTCTTCGCGGTTGCCTGTAATTATTTTCACTCGATATGTGTGAAGAAAAAGAGCAGAGAAAAGGAGGGAGAAAATAAAGGGAGAAAATAAAGGGATTCGTAACGATATTTATGCTATGATTTCACAATATAAATGATTCAGTGGTCTCTCTCTTATTTTGTAAGCGGAGGTGTTAATTAATTAATAAAGTATTATTGTGTCGGGCGTTAATTAACTAAAAGCAACCAGCCGGTCCCTCGTACACTCGCGTATGCCCGAGATTATCTGAAAATTTAGCGCGACAAATATGCAGGCACGGAAGTTGGAAATTGATTGACTCACCCGGAGGTATCCGGGATTCACCGGGCACGGTCTTGTTGATTACTCCCTGTTTTGCCAACGTTTCGTCATTTTCTTCATGATGCGCTCCATTGACATCAACCTAATACAGACACGTCAATCCAATTTCGTTTCATCTCCGGACTCGGATGTATTTAATTAACAACCGTCGAAGCGAATTAAGCAAGGGGACTCGACTTAATCGAAATACACGGGATACACCTTCGAATAAATTCGGACGGGGCGTAACTAACCTGATGCTGCGATTGATCTCTCTCAGAGGTCCTCGCATCCGGCTCGTTCGTCAGCATCGCGTATCCGAGAGTAATTTTTAGCTGCTGCCGGGCGTAATACTCGATTCCTGTATGAATTTCCGAGCGGACGTGATACGGACGCGTGGGCGGCACAACGTGCAATCTAGCATTAAGCGGGATATTGACATACGCAAGTCACGGGCAATAATCGCAAAAAGTGTATTGATCAACGCGACTCGTGTCGTCCCGATGCAGAAGGCGCGGATAGCATTTACGAGAGCCGTCTCATTTCCATCAGAAAGCGGGAGCGCCTCTCTGACGGAGCCGAGGAGGCTTGCGTGGGTATTTCGGCCAAAGTATTTTGGCTTTTTGTGAGAGCTGGCGCGCAAGAGTGAGATATTGAATTTCAATCGAATGGAAAGAGCGCGGCCCGCACGTAGACGTTTTCACGTCTACTGGATGACAGATCCGGTTTATGATTCACCATCGAAACCTTTCGTTTCACGGAAACGGGATCCTCGGCAACGGGACGGACGGCCCTATTCTTTATCGAGCATCAGATGGATGTCTTCACATTCCGCGATGAGACGCGCCTCCGTTACGCCGTCGACGTGAATCAGAAAGCGCACAGCTTTTAAAACTTTCGCCTCGATATGAAGAGTCCGCCGCCGAATATCCCTGCGTTCCTGGGCTCCATTAGCGATGGCGAAACCAAATAATTGCTCATTTGTTTCGTTACCGATTAAACGCGCGGTAACCAATTTAATTCGTTTGCAAAGCGACGCGACCTCAATCGATGTCACGCGATAGGGGTCAGTCGGGGATTAATAAAGGATATCTTTTTAAATATCTTTTCGACGTTCGTATTTCGTCATCGACATTTATTCGCTCCGGAAAATCGTAACTGACGAATAACAGAATTTTACGTAACGATCTGCTGTCCGGAAAAAGTCCTAAAAGCGTATTTAAAAGATTCTCAAGGGTAAGATTAACCGAGGGAGATGATTGATTAGGTCATAAAGTAACTCTGTCCTTTCCGCGGGACACTGATTGCCAATCGCGGCTTATTTCCGAAAGGATACATTTTATCGATCGATATCTCATCGTTCAATACTATGTATAAAATTATATATAAACGCTTGTAAAGTAAATCTTATTCCTTTGATTCAATAGAAAGTAGTTAATTTATGCAAATGTACATATATATTGACATTATATGAATATAATTATATAGCTATGTAATACAGATAGAAGTTAATTAATTAAATAGTACAAATTAAACTTTCATAATGTTTATATTTTCATGTTTATCAGAATAATATACTTTAACATTGCCGTGAAAATTATTTGCACTCATAATTCGTCTTATAATAATATACGAAAACATTTGTTTAAATCTACTTTGTTTTAAACATTTTATATTATTTATATTTCAAATAAATTGAATAAATGTGCGTTAATAATTTATTTAGTTTATAGTCGAATCGACGTTGGTTAAACGATTGTATTATTTAAATTGATATACAGATACGCTATCACAAATAAGACATCGTACTTTAATTAAGCAACGCGATTGTGAAAATTTATTTAGCTCTGCACTGGTTTGCATGAATTTTTTCTAAAGCTTCGCAGAGAAAAGTCCCAAGACAGCAAAATTTGTGCAGGAACGTGACGGAACTGCCGGATTCGTAAAAATGCCATTCAGTTTCGCGCATTCTTTCTGCACGCGCCGTAAAATTTAATATCTGAATTATCCATGATTCGCGATTGTTGGTGGCCACCTCCGATCGTTGCGAACTAACAGAAGGAGGGATAATGCAACTAAGGAGGACAAAGTGCGTCATTAAAAACGATTGTTCCTTCGTCGGTATTCAAAGGGCAAAATGATCGAACGTGATTCTCTGTGGCGGACTGAAATTCCTTTTGACGGCAAGCTCGCGCTTTTCGGGGGAATAAAAGACGAATTGTAAAATGGAGAATACAGAGGGACGACACGTACGCGTTTATTGTGTGTCGCAATACTCGGGCGCTACCGTTACACCCCCGGCGTACACACTGCAACAAAGTGTTATTTTTAGCCGTTATTATAAGAGAAGTTATTAAAGCAAAATACAATGGCGGGTAATAAACGGCGCGAAAGGTAAAATCGGGCGATATCGAGAAAAGTAATTACGATTACGTCTTGGAAGTTAAAACAGTTAACGTCGATTGATTTCTTTGCGACCTCGGAGGAAACCGGGATTTAGTTAACCACCCCGAACCCGTAATCGCTACGGATTGTGGAAAATCACTAGGAAACTCATTCGACGGGTTGCACACGTAGCTCATCGCATTCGATACTGTAACACGAGAACTATCGAAATTCTCTTACTGTCTGAATATTCCGATAGGAATAGTTGCTCTGGGCGGGATCGGACTAATCCAACTTTCCTCGCGAATGAGAATTTCGCCAACTACAGGGATCGCAGTGTCGTCATACGTGTAATAAATCGTGTCGTCGCGTATCAGCTTCGACTCGCGTACTTATCGCGTTGGAAAATTGAAAATAAAAGCGCCCGGCCAAAGCGCGCATTTTGCAGACCTCATTTATCATTATTTCCCCACGCGCTATCTTCGTTTAGAAATGGTGTTACAAGATTGATAAAAATCTGGTAGAATGGGTTCACTCTGACAATGAGTATAAATATAAATCATACCACATTTCATACATCCTTCTTCGTGTAATCCGGGGGGGGGAATTTCTCATTTTCATTCGGCGATTGTTTTATTTCGTTAGCCTCAACATTGCTTAATCACTCGCGAACATTTTACAACATGATAGAATATCTTTTGGGGAATTCATCAGGAGTTTGGCGCGACAGATGCGCGATAGGGAGAGAAGCTGTCGCTTTCGTAACCCGCATGTACCTATGTCATACGCACGGACTTATGTCCTTGATGCATATCGCTGATAATGATATTAATCTCATTGTCGCCTGGATAATGGGGCGAAGGGAAATGGGAAATTGTATCGCAGTGCGTCGGTGCGCCCGGCGTCGATCTCGCGCCTTGATTTAATTGACCACAACGGCGACCTTTTCGCGGCGATCTGACAAGTGATCGATTCAAAAAGGTTAAAAAGCTCCGCTGCTATTTCCGATCGCGATCGATGGTTCCTCGTCCGCAGCCACGTATCCACAAACGCGCGCGCGCGCGACTAGTGGCGAACTGGAGTTCGACTTGGCGAAGGAAGCGGATGCTAAGGTAAGAGAAGGCTGCCGGGTCCCGGCTCCCTTTCCGGCCCTTCGATCCGATTCGGTAATCGCCCTTCTCGCGGTGCGCGCGATCCGGGACTTTCGGTCGGAATTTTGGCCCCGCGGTAGCGGAAAGTGTTGGAAATTAGCGACGGAAAGTTCACAGACTCGCGTCAGCGTTTTCCCAGATGGACTCCGGGCTAGGGTTAATTAACTCTCGCGTGATCATAGTTTTTGAGTTATTGAGCACGATAGCAGGCGCGTAGGCAGTTAATTTTCAGCCCAGATTACATTCCCGTCGGTCTTCTCGATCCGGCGCGTGCGGCCTATAAATATTAATTATTTTTTCTAATATCGCATTCCGCATTAAATTCGATTTATTGATGTAGACGTACTTTCGTGCCGCCTTAAAGATTAAATTACTGAGCGAGTTTTAACAGGCTGTGAGCGATGGTCCCGCTCAGGCGTGAGAAATGCTAATGCAAAAAAGATAAAAAGTAAAAAATAGTCCAACCTAAATGGGTCTAACGATAAAAGGGAGGCTTCCGAAAAAGGAAAAACCTTACTCGCCGTTAGGTCACTCCCTAAATGTACCTGATAATCAGGTTTCAATCTCTTTCACGCCCTCCGGAGCTTCGTGTTTCTGTAAACGCGCAAAGATCGGACGTGTAAAATGCAAGGACAAAAAAGTGTATTTCGTGAGTCAGATGAACGGACAAGCTGTACGTTTAACGTTATATTTATAAACATTAATAGAAAGGGGTGTTCGTATTGCAGAAAATATAGACCGTTGTATCAATTGTAAAGAGGAGAATATAAATTGACGAAATATCTGCCGTAATCTCTTGGTAAGTTATATGTTTATTTAAAAAATTTGCACTCCGCGATATACAGCTTTATTTATGTTCATCTGAGTAAATAGATAAACATGCACACGTACCCCGTAATTTAAATATTTGCTTTTATTCTTTTAAACAATATTAAACCGGATATTTATTTTAATATAAAAGTTTCTGCGGGGACTATTGACAATACGTTTCATGCTCTCTGCTCATTAATTAAGTAAGTAGGAATCCACAGACGCGGGAGGATTCGGCCGTAAGCCCTATTTATTTGCTCCCTAATGCAATTCCGAACGGCCGTATCTCATCGTTTGGAAACTTATTTGTGTATCATAGAACCCGTTCAGAGGCAATGAAGTGACCCAAGAAAATTGTACAGGGCTGCCACCTGAGCTCGTGCCGCAGATGGGACGGGGAAAGTTTTTCAGACGATAACACGTATCTCGTACACGGAAGTATGTCGTCGCTATTTGGACCTCCCGGCGGAATTTGCATGTATTTCGTGTACCGTCGACAATTCAGTCGAAAATGAGGTGGCATGGCGGAATATTTAATATAGACATTCTTTGATAGAGCGGATTTCGCGCGCGATTTTCGCGATCGCGCATTTATGCGGAATTTCAAGCAGCCGCCGCCGCCGTCTGATAATTTATTCCACATGCATAATTTGGAGTTACACGGGGCGGACCGGCCGACTATTTTCGGGATACTGACCGAAGAGTAAAATATCTCGCGATGTAGCCAATTATGGAGAATCGAGAGCCGAACGACGAAAGGACGATCTGCATTACAAATCTCGGACGAGACGAAATGAGATTTAATTGCGATCAATCATTACGCATACGACACTAATGGCGTAAGCGATATAATGCTCTAACGTTATATTTCGACGCGCATATCTGAATGCGTAATTAGAGCGGGGAGTGGGACGCGTCGCAAACTTGGACGTGGAACTTGCAGTTACGAAGTTCGGCCCGCGCGTTACTTCGTGTTGCTCGCAATGGCTCGCCACAAAGGAAAATGTACGTGTGCAAACCAAATCAGTAATCTAAGACGAAACTTGCCGCGAGACGCTTATCGTTATTAGACGGAGATTTGCATAGCGCCCAGTGCCCCGGACGAAAGTTATCCGATTTCGCGTTACAACTTCGTAAGTGCGGATGCTGCCGGCTTCGGTTTACACGTGTGACTTCAGTTCATATGCGATTGCGGCGAGATGAAGAGGCGCGTATTGGTTACTTGTCTGCGCTTGTTTCCCCTCGCGGGATCATTTCTGGCCCGTGCAGAGTTGCGTTTATGCGTGTTTATAATTTATAATTCGCAGCGGCACAATTTTTCACGGCAGACTCGATGCTGCGTTATTGAATTGTAAATTTCAACCGCAAAATCCGGTACACCCATGATTTTCTCATCTCTCTCGTTAGTCTCGTTCCTCCTTCGTGCGAGATGATTAATCACCGTGTAAGAAAGTGCACGACGCTCGGAGCACGATCTGTGTACGGTCTATTTGAACGATGTAACCCCCGCTTTACGGATACGGAACAAATGGACTGAGATCTCTGAAATGTTATTTAACGTGCTATTTAACTGCCGGACCGAAGACAAACACGAGCGAGTCGGCGCCAGCGATTATTCATTTTTGCTCGGCTCGTCTTGCCTCTCCCGCGGCCGTCCAAGTGCTGGACGAATGTCGGGGCATCGATAGAACGAAGCATACGCGCCTCATTAGAGCCATTACGCGACCCACGGGAGGTCACGCGTGCACTCGGCGATCCCACGTGGAACAAATAAAACGGATGGAAGAAAATTGCAAGATTCCATGTCGCACCCGCCCGTGTCGTCTACACGTGTGTCGCGTAATTACTCATCGATCTACCTTGCGAAGGTGAAGTTCCAGCGACAGTTTCGCGGCCGCGTTGCCACGGGAAAAGTCGCTACCGCATCATGTTCTTCTCCTCCTCCGTTTGTCAACCAGTGTTTATGTGACTTTATTCGAAACTATGTATATAACATGATCTGAAAGGGTCAGGAAATTTAGGGACACGCGGCATGGCGCGGGGAAAATTAAAAAAAAAAGTACTGCAGATACATTGAATCTACGGAGCACGGTACTCTGGAAAAAAAAGACAGTCGGCAACCCATTTTGGGGCCCACAATTAGTAATCGAATTATTTAGATTGTTCGTAACTCTGGGAAAAATTTTGACCGTTTTTCTGTAGTGCCTCTTAAGTTATCTTTGGGTTACTGAATATCGACAGAACTAATTGAGAGAATTGATTGGTGTTACTTAAAAATTTTTGATACAGATAGAATAGCTAATTGCGACTTTTAGTTACGCGGGATAAAATTCGTAAAAGATTAGAGTCACGAACGATCCACGTAATTCAATTACTAATTGTGGGCCCCAAAATTTTGGGTTGCTGCCTTTTCTTTTCCCGGAGTGAGAGACGGAATGTTGATTGTAAGTAAAATGCACGCGATGCCGTTTTGCGAGGGTCCAAAAACGTATATGAAAGTACGGGATACATTTCTCGCGGAAAATGAAAATAAAAGTCTGATGCGGAACAACCAGTTTGTTTTCGCGTCAAAGTTGACTTATGGACTTGTAGCTGGGATACGTCAGCTAGACGTTCCCTGTTTATTTTTGCAAATAAATATTTCAAAATGTGTTTTGACCTTTCCGTTAAATTACTCGGCCGGCTTGTAGAGAGGGTTAGAAAAATTGCCCTTTAAACTTCGAAATAACTGCGTAAATGCGGGGAGCCGAATACAAAGTAGCGGCTGCACACTGCTATTTGGCGCTACTCAAATATATATATATCGTAGTTGGAATTAGTAGAGCAGGTTTGTTCGATCTACAAGACGTGTGCATATATTTGTACACTTTGGCGGCATCAGGATGTAAGCGTGGTAGGTAGTGAAGTTATACGTTCAGCAGAACTGACCTAAGGGCGCGTTCGTCGAGGTGGGACGAATAAGAGATGGGGACGAGTGTTAAGGAACGCCGGCAAGATTTTGAGGGTGCGAGCGGTGGTTACTCGAGCAATGCCATATCGGATTGTGGTGGCGCGGTAGGTGGGCGTTTTCGCACACGAGACGTTATTCCACAAAGCAGCGCGGAGCGTTCTATTACACACATTGGTAAAAACCGTCTCCGTTGATGGTGTCTGACGCCCTCCAGACGTGGCCTTCCGGATGTACAGAGTAGAACGCTGTGTACATTGGAGGGAGGATTATACTGGAGGGATGTAATGCTACTTTCCGCGACAATAAATCTCGTGGTCGTATATAAAATGTTTGCTCCCTATCTTATTTCCAGCCCTCGTAGTTCTCCATGGTATCTCCTGTACTTTGTCCCGACGCTGCGCGCGGCCAAGCGAGCGAGTTTGCTCAAACCTCGAGCTGTTTAAACTCGGCGAAATTCTCGTCAAGACACGAGGGAAATGTTGCACGGGACTTATTCATTCGTGGGGAAAATGTGCGATCTCGCCGCGAGCGATACATCCCGCGTATACGCGTCTTAGCGCGCGATCGAGGAAGACTGCAAATTCGCTCGCGCGATAGCGCGTACCGTCGACGGGGTCGATCGCACGGGGAAATATTTATACTGCGATATTGCGTAAGGATTGATGCGTGCACAAGGGTGGCGCGAGGAACACGAAGACATACGGCTCGTTCACGATTGGCCACGGAGTCGGCGAGGTGTGCGGTATCCCGGACTAGTCCGGAGCCGGCCTGGTTTCAGTCAGCGGCGCAGATCCGTCGCGTACGCGTCGCTGATGCCGGTACCACACGTCGACTGTTACCACTTGCTGCCGGTCGCGAGAAAAGCCAGTCTCGGATGCGTGAAATTAGATCGCTGTGACAACCGACTGAAAAATTAAAACGTCCCGTACACCGGCGAAAGGTTGAATATTAATTTTAACGTCGGCGAATGGCAGTCCGTTATTGCGCGCGTCTGGAATACAGTTTTTAACGTTCTGTGAGCACAGGTTCGCGCTGGATACAAATGAATTGTTAGTGATAAAGATAACGCCGCTCCTTGTGAACGTTTTTTTTACTTATAACTGTGTTATCAAATAAATCATTCGTTGTTACAAATTAATCCACGATCGTGTAAAAATTGTAGGGTTAATAATTACATAAAGTTGCGCCCGTTAAGGATACGTTAAATGTGAAATAGCTCCGGATCACTCTATCGTAATTAAATGCGCCAATACAAAGTGGGTGGAGAGGTAATTACCCCCTCATCAGTGAAAATATTCAACTTTGATAGTGCTCCTTCACGAAGAATATCAACGGTATATCTAAACTTGAAAATTAAACGAGAACTCCATTCTTTGACATTGTTCACAGCATAAAGTAAAGACTATTAATAATCTCCCTGATAAGTGATGTAATAAGAAACACAGTTATAACATAATTCTCATGAAACTGACGATAGCGATTCCGTTATAATCTGCAAAGATAATTCTGAAAAGGTAATAGTACAATGTAATCTGAATTACTTGCTTTTTATTATCACGTGTTTACACACGCACAAATCATTCGTACTAATTGTACTAGATGACAACACGTAAGCCGAAGTACCGTCTTAACCGTCCTAAGTACGTTATATAAAATCTGGGAGCGCTACGAAGAGTGAATAAGGGGCGTAGTAATGCAGATTGGCACTTATATGAAATGCATTTATATGTACGACGTGATAAATTCCGCTCCGTTCAAACATACTCGGATCGCGACGGGACGTAAAGTATGAGTTACACAATTTACCGAATATTGAGATCATGGTTCTCTATTTCTCACTTCTCTCTCTCTCTCTCTCTCTCTCTCTCTCTCTGTCTCTGTCTCTCTCTTCGAACTATTGTATGATCCGAGCTATTATACAATTAAAATTCGATACCATTTAGGGAAAGAACGAACGGACGAAGGTAAAAAGTTAATCCACGGCAGGAAAAAAGCGAGGCGCTGCTACTTGGCAATTAATCGGCTGAAACTCGAAGCAACTTTTAACGATCGACAGACACACAGTAAGCTCTTTTAGCTTCCTGACGGCCGACGCGATAACGATACCTGTCATTGTAATGCTACGCAAAGTGGGAAATGATAAAGAAATTCCCCATTCAAAGTAGCCGCGGGTCGACTATTCTGAAAGGTGAGCTCCTTTCGGTGAACTCTTAAACGCGTCGTCTCTTTTCTTACACACAAGTAGCTTGCCACAAAAGCGTCGGGCAGCAGTTAAAAGTTATGGATTTCTTACTTTAAGTTTGCTTTGTTGGCCTGCAGCTCGTAAAATTGCTCTAAATGCGATTAAAATAGTGTGTGCCGCTCCACGTTTCCGGGGAAATTAACGTGGATTCTCCCGCGACGTAAAATGCTAAAGCCGGGATAAAATTGTGAGCGTGTTTATTTTTGTCATGGTGATCGGTACCGTGCGGACCTGAAATATCCACGAGCGGGACTGTCTGTTGTACATGTTTGGATAGCGAAGTAAGCACGATTTTACGCGATATACGAGTGTTTTCGCTGGTGCGTCGATATTCGCTACATTCGGAATATCGGCGAGTGCGAAATTAAACAATTTAGTCGTGCATATTTAACTTTTTAAGCGAGACTTTTACGCACAACATTAATCTTGTTGAATCATGGAATATCACCAGAGTAATATTCATAGGTTAACATTATCCGTTATTATTATAACATTACAAGCTATATTTTAGACCTTTAAATGAAAAGCTGCGCCGAAACGAGTAACAAGAATTAATATTTTATCGCGCGAGCTTCTCTCGCATTATACCAACGCTTATACTTCTATTGTTCGATATGTAAGACCGCGCGGGGTAGTTTTAGTTATCTATCGCGTATATCTCGTCTAGTTACCGATCATTAGGTATCGATAGTGTTGTATGTGTCGGAACGCATTGTGCAGATTTTCATGGTTATTAATTTCAAATATCCGGGCAATCCTATAGAAATGCATTCTATATGCAATAGTCTTCGCGCTTGATGGCGCACGTACGTTAATCATTACTGTCTGTATATATAATAGAATGCTGTGATTGACCTCAAAGAGCCTAACGGAGAGAATTTTCTCTTAAAAATTTATCCCGAACATCAAGTGATCGTGGGACAACACGGTATTTTGAAGAACTTTAGGAGAGTTTCTTGAAAGTTTACCCGAGTCGAAATTTTGGTACTATTTTGACACTTTTAAGGATAATTTACACTTACTTAGCTGACCTATACACCTACATAGATCAGCAATAACCTACTTTGATGACATTGTATTCTTTTACTCCTCCCTTGAATCTTTAATTCTAAAAATTTACTTTAGCTCCTGCTTTAAAAGGATCTACTTTAATTGGCAAAAGTAGAAATTTCCGACACTACCAGTTTTAAAGTGGGAGTAAATTGTGTACTTGCAGTTCGACCTCTTTTACTGTCTTAGGTTCTACTATATAATAGAATTAAAGATTGAGCATAAGACCAAAATTTCGACTCGGGTACCATACATTTTACTAGTAAATATACCAAGTACAATTACTAGTGAAAGGTGTGGTAAAATTTCGCGAAACTCTCGTGAAACTCTTTGATTTCTGAATGTCTGAATTCTGAATGCCGCGTTGTCCCACGATTACAATATTTTCAGGATGAACTTTAAAAGAAAATTCTCTCCGTGTACCGTTGCATAATGGCTGATGGCGCATTTAACGAACTGCACTAACAAAGCGTACGAGCGTAGCGCGAAAATGTCTTGACCGCGGAAATACTTAACGTAAATTGTGACGTACAATATGAATCGTATTAAGTGCGCCACATGTGACGAATTGCGTACTGAGCGCATGTGCGCTTTTACATAAGTTTGTGTGCGAACGGCCTTTCATCGCGCAATCAAATTCAAAAGAAGAGGCACTGAACTGAGATATTGCAAATTATTAAGGTATCGGGCGATCGTTATGTCATTTTCGTTTCTCTTATACGAACTCCGTCTGCGTTATAAATTGACGAGAGAGCTTCGGAGAGTCAGGGAGATCAGATTGGAAAAGGTACCAAGATTGATGCTTCGGGATCGCTGAAAATGCCATACATAAAGGCTTACCAATCGTCGTACCTACAATCCGTCTGCGACTTTTAATATCAAATATAATTTATGGCTGTTCGTCAGACCAGCTGTAGAAGAAGATGGACTCAGAAAATATTGTACACAGGACAGGCGCATCAGCTGCGTAAAAAGTTAATCGCTAAATTACGATTGGCGGCAGTTAAAGTCGATGATAGATCGGAGCATAGATGTCAATGTAATCGTAGGGTTAGGGTCGTTGATAATTATGCTGAAAATTAAGGATTTAAAAATTAAGGATTTTTATGCCTATATTATTTAATGATTAATCGAAACTCCTGGCATACAGTGATCTTCGATCTTTCCGATGGCCGATTAAACTTTATTTGCTAAATTAGTACGGAAATATATCCTTGTATAGTAGAGGTAATAATATTTACCGCGTGCAATTGGGACCGCGTTCGAATGCTGATCAACAGAGTGGAGAAATAATTGTGTTTGAACGGAAGAAATTAGCCTTGCGGCTGTACGTGATCAATATAGATAATAGCAGCTTCAATTCCGCGTTTGATTACTAATTTTGGTACGGCGTGCCTCGGCAGGTACCTGTGAAACGCTTAAATAAAATCTGAATAGACTTTAATCTACCGAAAAAGATATTTTCGTTGCAGAATATTAGAAAGGGAAAAGGAATTTGATTGAAAGCGAGTCTAAGGCAAATTTACATTCTGATCTTTCGTCCTTTGTACAAATTAATAGGATGTTATTTGCATACAATTTATGCCATTACATTTATTTTAAACGTCAGACGTAGACTTTATTCAACGAACCGTCAAATCGTTCGCGGCTTCGATTCCGATACCGTACGCATGACGGAAAGTTAATTGAGCAACGCTAAACTGTAATAACGATCTAACGTAATAAAATAATCCGCGTACACGGCGTTTATGGCTGACCAGGCTGGCTCGAGTTTAATACTGGAACCGTATATGGGATAACAGAAATTCGCGAGCACAATCGGTGTATCGCTTCATTCCAAATGTCACCGCAAATTTCAAATTTATTTGGACAAATGGCGTACGTTACGTTCACGTAGAACAAAGGGTCATGATGGCATCAAAGTGACGTTGAAGTAACTTTTAAATGGAAAAAGTCATCACAAGTTCCATGCTCCTCCGCGTGGGATAATCGAAACAGAATGTGCGGAATCGCGTAGGCAACGATAATAAGGTGGTAATTTTTAACAGTCGCGCGAATTGGGATTACATTCGAGATACGTCTATAATAAACGTATTAATCTAAGGGAATACATTAAAATGTAGTTTAAACACGTGCGCAAGGCGGACGTGAGGCTGCGCTTCCGTCGTATTTCTTACGAAATAACATTTACCTTGGGATCAAAAGGATTATGCGTAGAAATGCACGAGTGGCCAAGCGACCGGAATAAAAGAAAAAGTCCACATGAATACATACTGGGAAGAGCAACACCGTAGATATCCCAGCTTTCGCTCCAGGCCAGCGTATATCAATTCGCTATAGATCGATAGCAAAAACTGCGATAAAACATTTTATGCATCTCCCCTCTCTCATTCGTGCATCAGCACTTGCTCCATGATTTTGTGATGATCGCGTGGTACGTAACATACGTAACATCCCCCCCCCTCTCTCCCTCTGTCTCTGTCTCTCTGTCTCTCTTTCTCTTCTTGCAACTCAACGTGACCCAGCTCGCTCGAGTAATCCACCCGAACGCAGTGATGTGAAGCGCGCATACGAATAGCAGGAAGTATCTTCGAACATTTATTGGTCGACTGCATTAATAATCTGACGTGCTACATTGTTTACATCTTCTTCGTGTCTGGCAGTTCTCGTCCGGTGGTCCGGGACGAGATGAGATGTGTCCCTGCAGCGATGCGGATTTGCTCGCCCGTACAATATACACACGCTCGCGACGAACTTTTCCCGTCGCTCCGCACGTCCACCACCTCTCGAATGAACTCATTAAATTTTCCCGGATACCCTACATCACTCCGGGTGGTTGAAAATTTCAAAGAGCGATACCCGTAGGGATGATAAACGGAAGCGTTACGCTTTTATTCACTAAGAGAGCATTTAGCTTTTTTATAGAAGGCGACCTTACAGTCGCGAATTCTATGATAAAATTAAACGTCAACTTGTCCTTGAGAGAAAAATTAGCGGCGCACCTCGGCCGGCTTCTTCGCCGGCTGTCGAGAGGACATGTATACTCCGGCGCGTCAAAATTATAAATTCAATTGGAAACGCGCGCGATGTCTCTCCAGCTCGCACTCAGGACACTTGCCACTTAGGACCAGTTTCACAAACATCAGTTAACTAACCGAAGGTTAATTGATTCTTTGTCTCTTCTTAAATAATAAGATGGAAAAAGATAGGGAGTCGACTGAACCCTAGTTAACCGATGTTTGTGAAACTGGCCCTTAGGGCGAGTTTCATAAACGTCGGTCGACCGCTAACCGAAGGTTAATTGATTCTCTGTCCCTTCTTAGATAATAAGATAGAATAAGCTGGGGAGTTGACTAAACTCTGGTTAACAGTTAACCGACGTTAGTGAAATTGGCCCTTAGTCGTGCGGAGGTGTATCTCGAGCAAGACGGTGTATTTTGAGCCGGCGTGTGTAGGTTCATAAAGAGAATTCAGTAAGTATACGAGGGCGCACATGCTATCTCGGTTCCGGTATTCCGACGGTTCAGAAATTCATTTTCGTTTCACCGCTCTTAGGGCTGTTGAAGTATACAAATGGAAACGGGGCCGTCGTGTGCTCCCAGTTCGCGCGCGGCATTTGTGGAAACTGTCTCAGGCACCGGGCGCGTTAACGCTTTAACGCGTTAAGCACGCGAAACGGCCTTCCAGCTCTCTTCGGGACCTCGGTAAACCCCCGAAGTCAGGCACTCGAGGCGAAAATTTATCAATCCCCGCGAATATCAACCCCCCTCGTCTCCGTGCGCTGTTGTACCCCAATTAGCGGTTCGTCTCTGCGTGTTGCCGCGGAATAATCTCTAACGCTGAGATCGATCGCGCGGCATTTCGCTCGCAGAAGATCTTCCGGGGAAACTGTCGCGCGCATTATCGCGAAAATTTCAGAGCGGAGCTTGTTTAATTTACGACTGAGTGACTCGTAAATAAATAACGAGACAGGAGTATTAATTAATTGTACACGAAGACTGGACGTTGTATCAGAGTTTGATTTTTCCGCGCGATATTTTACTGCCTCGATATTTACCGATGCGCCGAACAAATAAAATCAATTTCATGAAATATTACTGCAATTAGAAAGATGCATATGCTTATTGGGGGAGTAGTACAGTCTTATTGAAATACTATAATTGTCACTTCAAGGATACATATGATTATTTTGACAATAAAATCATTTCAATCATTATAATCTTCGATTTGAAAATCTGTTATTTTCTATCCAATATTGTTTCTTTTCCATTCGAGAAAATTATTCTTAAATAATAAGCATACGTTTTTCTTGATTGAATTCTATAAAAATGCTTCATTCAAGTAAGTTTTTCTTCCTTTAACGCAATATAATCTTATCTCAAGATTTTCACGTTGACACTAAACATATTTTCGAAAGAAGAATATTCTTGTTTCCTGTGTATATTTATTAAAAATACTGTTAGACGTATATAAGTAAACGAGACTTAAAATCATTAAAAATACTATGATGTCTATGTGGCGGGCATTGTAAGTGGGTTGCTGGAAATGTGGAGAAACCTCGGACGAATTCCATTCGCGATTTTATCGTCACGCAACGATACATTTGTTACCGCATCTCGCGAGCCTATCGTGCAAATATTACCTCGCATATGCATAATAGTCGCGTCAAAATTTCTGAAAAATTAGGTCAAGCATCTCGTGCATGCATTCACTTGATGCATTTCGACATTGAACAGCCTTTTTTTTCCCCCTCTTCTCGCCGCGATTTGGGAAATTGCCGAGCGCCGCGCGTATCATCGTGTTGTTCGTGATTTTCGTGTCGATCGCGCCGAATATGATTGATACTCGACAGTGGTGATAACCACGAATGATAAATCAGACACCCGCGGCACGTCGCACGGCTGCATATTGCAATTCGTAAGTGAAACCGCGGTGGACCTTGAGCGAAAATCGGATCGGACTCCTCGTGGACAGAATCTTAATTAGCCATCGCTGTATAGAGAGACAGGCGGCTTATTTCTTAATTTATAGAACGCCGTTGTGCCCTCGTATAATCTTCATGCTTTCACCTATTACGTATTCCATGTTATCTCGAAGGATGCACGAAGACAAGAGGGATAGTACGTTCGCACCAGCCGACGATCTTGCGCGTGATTATCAAAGATCTGAAGTGATATTCTTGACGTGACGTCGGATTTCTTTTTATTCAGAGAGCACGTTGCACGCATTGAATATTTTGCGAGAAGAAACTGAATAGACGAATAGTACGTACTAGCAATCTACCCGATAGAACGCGTGTGTCTCATTAAAATTAATAATTTATAACGAACGTCTCGCGGCGAACGTACTTTTACTCCTTAATTAAATCATTCAATACCGACGTATTTAGAAAACTGTGTTTCGCATGGAAATGGTATTCATTGCTCGAAAAACATGCGCGAATTTAGTTACTAGTCGACTAATTAATATGCGAGCACTCACCAAACCGATATAACATACGATATTTGATTTAAGGTTCTCGCTCTGTAGGAACTTCTGAATTAGCCCCGTGATTTATGACGAATTATACGTACTATATGATGTTACGTAATGAATCTGTTAACTAACAATTAAAAATAACGATTATGACAATACTATAATATTTGAAAAATGTTCTACACAATGCGTCAATTTTATGGCGAAAATATACATGAGCAATATTCAATATATGTATGGTAAAGTTCAACTTCTATCTTTTTATTTCAAGTATTTCACTTGGATCTTTGTATCCGCGTGTATTAATTTTGCCAGAGCTCATTTCATTTTCAGAGAGATGAAAAAAGTTCATTTAAATCGCGCTGATAGCATAACTTGGTAGTGTAACAGAGAAACGTGCAACGTTCAGCTTCGCAAACAGGAACGAAATGTACGAAGTATGCAAAGAACGATAGGAGAGTCAAATATATTAGATTCTCCTAATGCCGACATTTAAAAGCCAAACAGATAAAGTGCGTGGGGTATTTAGTGTATGTTTAAACGAATGAGATGCCTAGCAAACTGATTCAAATAGATTTTCCAGCGATAAAGAGCTCCGGTAATTACGTCGAATTCAAAATTTATTTAAGTTATCTCGCGAATTTTATCCGCGCTTGCAAAATTGTAAATGAACATTGTAATTTCGAATGCTTTTCGGTCTCGATTGTTCCTCGTAACATTGTTATTCCACATGATAAATTAAAAAATTCGCTCTTAACGCGTGCCGTACCTTTTGCCTTTCGACTCGCTGGTAAAATTATAATGGCATTATAATTATCGAATTCATTAAAGTAAAAATCTCAATATAAATTTTTGCTAATAAAGGCCGTACATTATTTATCATCCTGTGCGTCGTAAATGTCTTTTATATTTCCCGTTAATTTAAACCGTGATACTTAAATAAAATGATTTTGTCGAAGAAGAAAATTTGGGATAAAACGTTATGAATGTATTAAATATTTTTTTATTGTTATGTCTAATTTACATGTGTTTTAGTCTCCGCGTAACGTACTAAGAAATTTTTCAATACAACGAGCTTCATGTTTCTCGAACCACGAGTCACGAATTCCCATTGTTAGTACAGCAAGGGATGCATGTCACGATCGTAATGATTCTCTCCCCTCGACGAATGTGCTTCATCGACTGGCACTACCAGTAATATGGTGGAAAATTGCACGAGTGAGAAAAAGAGTTACCCGCGATAAGCACCATATTTCTTATGTTCTACGGGAGAGGCTGAGATGGTAGACGCGAGAGAGAACGGAGGCATAAAAAGCTCAAAGACCAGATAGCGCGAAAGTTTTTTTTATTGAAAGAACGCAACTCAAGTCGCTGGACGTGAAAAATCGTAAAAAAAAACGGAGTATGAAGAGAAAATGAATAAATAAAGAGCTCGTAATTGCGTTAAGCTCAAAAGATGTAGCTGTTACGTTTTTAACATATATTTTGCATTTTACGCACAAAGTTAGAAATTGTTAGAGTTTTCAACGACATTAAAGTCGCGCAAATGGTAACTTAAAAGGACTGGAATTACCTAATACAATTAAATAAGCTTTGTGTATGTGCGTGCATGGCATGTACATTTTACGTAATACAAGCATCACATGAATAATAGGAATTGTGATTAGCATAAATGCGAAAGTGTCCAAGGCAATAATACTCGAGCTTTCTAATAACATAGGACGTATCACGCGATCTATTTGGATAACGTAATGTCAGAAAGGGAGACGGAAGGAGAGAGAGAGAGAGTGTGTGTTGATAATATGTTAATTACATATCAGTAGCAGATAATTAAAGGCGAACGTACATTGATATTACTTTGATAATTTTGAAACAAAGGATTACAAGTATGCAAGTGAGGTTAGCGGATTTACACGCTCATGACAATGCCATAACTTAATCAATTAGTTTAAAAACTGAATTTCTTTTATTTGTTCTTTATATTTTTCAATAAAACTAAGTAGTTCAAAATTTTTTCTTTACTTGACACAAGAATTAATGTGTTCTTCAATTTACGTTTTCTTTAGAAAACTTCTATTGCTAGATTTAGGAACAAACGGAATATGAATAAGCCATAAAGAGAGTCCTAATAATACATTATACGTATATGTATATATGTATAGACTATTTAACGTTTAAAACCATTTATAGATTGTATGATTAAACACATGTGTATCTCCGTCCATTAATTATACTACGTTGCACACAGAACTGCCCGACGCTTAATAATTTATATGCTTTGTTCTGTTTGCAGATATTTATCGAGAGAGGAGAGCAAATTTTAGATGAAGAAAAATTGCAATCATTGCACAAATGTGCACAGGCGGCACGAGTTGTAATTACATCTTCAGCTTATTTTAAGCTGCAAGATTTTTAATATTGCTCAGAAGAGTGCTGCAATAATTAATTAGTGCCGGAAAATCTGAAAAAATAGATCGCCGAATTTAGCCACGAAACAAGAAACTATGCTTCGAACGTGTGAAAAATGTTGTTGACTCCATCGTAACACAGTTTCGAACCTAAATGTTGGAGACGTAGCAAACAGGGAGCAAAACATTCACCGGGTACGGTTGTGTGATAACAGTTCGATGAAGTGACATCTCACAGCGATGTAACATTTGTTGTACCGAAGTACTTCCGCCGGCACGGGCGCATGAGTCGACAAGGGAGGGAACGAAGGATCGAAGTGCACGAGTGACAAGAAAATGTCGATTCAGGGACGCAACCTGTCCGATAGCCCCGTTTCCACAGAATATTTCGATGCTTTGGAGGCCGATGATGACTCGTCGATCGTTACCGGCCATCCCCGGTTCTCCACCGTCACTTCCGGAATTGCCAACATCACCTCGCCAGTCATCGCGCAATCATCAGGTCAAGACAGCCTCCTGGAGAATCTTATTATACCGCTATACGGCACAATCTTCTTCCTCTCCATCGTCGGGAATTCTTTAGTGCTCATCACCCTGGCGAGGAACAAACGGATGCGCACTGTGACAAATGTTTATCTGTTGAACCTGGTAAGTTTCTGTATTCTACTTGACTTCTGTTAGATGGAGAAAAAGAGGCTGTCTTCGGCACATAGTGGTCGGCACATTAATCATCTGGCTTTTCGTGAGGATACACTTCGGGGTTAAAGAAAGCTACAACAATACATGTACACGGATAGTGGCAAGCCACAAACTTAAAGAATAAATTGTTGCGCTCGTCGAATATAAAATATCTAATATTAATAGATCAATGCTGAGATTTCAACTTGAACATAATCAAGAAGTGTTTTCGCAATTTATTTCTAAGAGGTGTGCGAGATAAAATATTGCTATTTTTAACGTTGTTAACAAGATTTTTTTATAATGCAAATAGTGATGCAGCCTTGTGATTATGTATTTTGAGAAAAAAAAATTTAAATACGTATTTTTATTCATGAATATGTGCAACGTTATTACTTAAAATTCAAATGACAGCACATTTCGTTATTGATACAGACAATGGAAATCGCTGCAAAAATTGTTCGCCGAAGATCTCGTCGATTGGTCGCAAATTGGCTTTCATATTTTGGACACAATAGTATTTGACGGCCACACGCGGTAACATGGGCCAAATAGCTAATTATCCCGGCGACATTACTGACAACATGCGATAACATTAGATTGCTCTGTAATTAACCTTAATTGAATCTGCCCGAGATGAACAAATTCCGCTGGAAACTTTCGCACTTGTTCGAAAATGAAATTTTTATCAAAATTTAGTTGGCTAAATTTCATCACCGCGCACGCAGCGTTTATACTTATAATAAATGAACGATAGGTTTATACTTATAATAAATAAACTATTCAACTTTTAATTAGCACGGCGATAATAAATGTTAAATTATGTTACGTCTCGCGCATGTATAAAGCTACAGAGGATCTTTAAATTTATAATTAATTTTATTAAGTTCCAAATCGCGTTTAAATTACTTCATGCAGAATGCTTTCGCAATCGACATGTATAATATACATAACACAAGCGAATTACATTAAGAAAGTATATATTTATATAAATACGCTTTCCTGATTACGTCATATATCGGCTATTTCTGACACAGTAATTTTTCATCCCTCAATAATCCCCGCGCGGCTAATGCATTATTTAAAAATAATGTGCGAGCGTTCCATCTATAGACTCAGCTGAACAATTTTTCAAATCAGATACGAGGTAAAATATAACATTGCGTGTCTGCTCAATGAAATATTTCTTGCAACTTTTACGATGTCTCGTGCAGGTTTCTACGCGAGCGAAATACCCATGAGCTCGCGCGCGCGTGAGTTAATAAATAAAAACAAAGGATGATAAGAGAGGCAACGAGACCAGGAGATTCAAGGGCCCGCAATGTCCTGCGCGCATCTGTTTGCCGAACCATTTTTGCATATTTCGTGCGGGTGGTGCGCTAGGGAAAAACTGCCAGCAGCGCTTTTTTTTCGGCTGTACCGGCTGCTAGTGATTCGTCACGCATACATTGCCATCATTCTTCCAGAGCGAAGAAAAATGTCGGTCACGTTCGCGAATGTCGGAGACCTGAAACCTTTTCTCGCTACGTATTCAATGAGGGCAAACAATTGATCAGCGATAAAGTGGACCTTTAAAGGAATATTTACGGACGTTCTACGGCGTTTAGTTCATCAATTTTACTTTATTACGTCGCTGCATAAGAAAATCTTTGGCGTTGTTATATTCTTGTTGGAGTGAATCGATTATTAATGTATATATGTTTTTTTTTCACTTATTATCTCAATTTTGTAACATTTAGTTTTAACGTATTTTTACACCAGTGATAGATTCATTTTTAAAAAAGAGTGCAATTTTTTCATATTTTTACTTTTTAAAACAATAGGTAGTAGTGATATGCTGTCGACGAACGTTACAAAATAAAAGATACGAAATAATTGCAAAACAGCAGAACATATTGTTAGCATTTTATCGATAAACGAAAATCCAATGTAGTTAAAATTACCGTATAATGTTTAACCCTGATATATTTTATTCCTATCCGATGCAACGATAGACACTCGATATGCTTGTTTTACGATACTAGTTCGCTCGTGCGCAGAATATGAAAGTGTAATCAAACGTTCTAGGAGTTTTTTTTTTTAGACATACACACCGTGCGTCGAAATTGTTTGCGAAGAAATATATGAGTTTTTGAATATTTATATTAAACGGAAAATTTTAGTGGCTCACGAATTGCAAAAACACAAAAGAGAAAAGGCGCACACAAATAATGCAAATATTATTTACAAATATTTAGGATGCAACGACGAAAATATTGAAGGTAATAAATAGGGCTCAGTTAGTCTTTTTGCTATTTTGCTCATTTCCATATCAAAGTATGAAATGATATATGCATCTCGATGAAGAGATATTTCAGTGCTCTTCTGAATTTAGCACGTATAGATAATATATCAAAAATATATTGTTTGCATAGAGAGTTGTTTGAAATAATATATGACACATACATTATTACTGTTATGTACAATACGTTCACGAGTAAGAATAATAATACTTCGGGTAGTAAAAATAGATATTTCATTCAACTTTTTATTAGATATATTGAATTTTATTAAATGAATCTAATGGTATCTCTTTGTTAATGGGAAATAATTTTATACATTAAAAACAAATATTTAAAATCGAGACAGTTAACGAGTTGATTTTAAAACGCAATTATTTTATATCAAATTAATTGAAAATTTATAATTATTGAGCGTTAATTAAATTTATTATTATTTATATTGAATAAATTACGTAAAATAACAGCAATGATTGAAAGATGAATAGAAAAACTCCCTCTGTATTAAAGAAAAAAAAACAGTAAGTCTTCGTATTCTCCTTTAAATCTTTAAAGGACGGCATTGATGCAACCCCATAACTGCAGGAGTTGTGTGGGTTTCTTTACATAAATGTTATTTAGTACAAAGCCGTTCACCGTGAAAATAGAGAAAGTTAGCAATAACTGTCGTATCATTAATAAGTCTCGACGCCATATAACGTCTTTTGAATACGAACAGAATATCTGGGGTCTTTTAAAGCGGGTCTTGGTAGAAAGAAACTTTATAAAACTAAAAGGGATATTTACTTAAATGAATTCTTCCGATATTATATAAATAATATTACATACTTACGCATAAAAATTCTAAAAGTTTTTTTTAGAAATTTAGTAGTTAAAATTAACAATGCACAAAACTTGAAATAATTTACTTTCTTTGAATTATAAATAATTGAAAACGATTTTTCCAAGAAGTTAACCATTCCAGATAAATAATATATCTTTATCTTTCATGTGTGACAAAAAAAATTTAATATAAAACATTTTTTAACGCGAAAAAGTAAGATATATTCAAGTCTTTACCGAGGAAGCCACTTTCACATTGATAAAAAGTAAATTCTCGATAATTGGACAGTATATAGTTTCGGAGAGACACTTATCAATTGTTACTACACTCCAAGATCCTCTCTGACATATTACATATTACAACAATTGTATTGTTAATTATTAAAAAACTTATTGTAAAAAGGTAATAATTCATAATGTGTGATTACTATGGAAATGCTTATTGTACAACTTTTTATTATAAGTTTAGCTAAGTAGATTTTATTTACTT